CTTATAACCAGTATTAAATGGACTGTAACGAAACTAACCAAAAGTATGGAAACTAACCCAAACTAACCCGTCCACCTAATCCGTACTAGTCCTTGAAACCCGCGGTCACAGACCAAAATGTACTCTGGCTCCTTTGATTTCGAGGTTATGCTTTTACGACGGTTAATGACTTGAGTGTTTATTTACTGTTCGGACTCGTTTCAAGTTTCGAATGAGAAATCAGTTCGTGGTAGTGTTTTTTTTTGGTACTGTATTTTGTTACCAGCAATGTAAATAATTGAGCATTAAATTTAATGCCCGGGCAATTTAGAAAGTGCCCAAAGAGATATGACAAAATTACGAATTATATAGAAAATATCAGATTGCCCACCACACGGCATTATAAATGATGACCCGGTTATTATCGGTAAGTTTGGTAGTGTCTGAATAAAATTGCAAACTAACCCAAACTATCCTTAGTATTATCGGTAAGTTTGGCAATGTACTCCGAACTCTTGAAGTAGTCCGAACAGTAAAAGAACTGGGAGTAATCCAAACAGTTGGAGTACTCAAACAGTTGGAGTAACCGGAGTATTCCGAATAGTTGGTGTACTCGGAGTACTCCCAACAGTTGGAGGTACTTTGAACAGTTGGCGTACTTCGATCAGTAGGAGTACTTCGAACAATTAGAGTACTCCGATCAGTAGGAGTACTCCGAACAGTTAGATTACTCCGATCTTAGCAGTACTCCAAACTGTAGGAATACTCCGGTCAGTTGGTTCACTACAAACAGTTGAAGTACACCGAACACTTTGCGTACTCGGAACAGTTGGGTTGGAGCACTCCGAACTGATGTTATTGAACTGCCGCATAGTAGAATGTGTGATAGATTTTCCTACCAGCGTGCGAGAAACACACACGCATTTTTATTTCAGTCCGTTATCATTATCAAATTTACCGATAATAACCCAGTTAGTTTGGGTTGATTGGCAATTTTAATCAGACATTATCAAACTTACTGATACCCGGTTAGTCTGGGTTAGTTTGCAATAATTTTAATCAGACAAGTTATTCACTTCACTCCAACATTAATCATATTGCCCGGATAATGTGATGATATTTTCTAATTCATAATTTTGTCACATTCCTTTGGGTTTTTTAAAAATTGCCTGGGCATTATCAGAGCTGAGGTACTGATTAGAGAAATATACTTGAAGTAAAATATTCAGTACATATGATACTTTAAGTATTTTACTTAAGTACTTTTATAAGAAGAGTACTTGAAAAAAAAAATCAATATAATTTGAAAAAAGTACTTGTACTGGTAGGTACTTAAATTTGGCAATTTATTTTAAGTAATACTTACTACTTAAAAATGTACTTAAAATTTGGATATACTTAAAATATGTACTCTAAGTACTTATTTGGTATGTCTAGTTTAATTATTTTCTAGGAAATAATGCGCGTGACGCAGAAAAAAACAGGTGTAGTTGCATCCCTTTGAGCATGTCAGAACTAATTATTTAATTATTATAGGTAAACAATAGTGTTCACCAGAAAAACAAGTAGTGAAACACAAAATAGCATTAATACTTAATTTTAAGATTTAAGATTTATAAGTATCTACTTAAGATAGTACCTACCTACATATAAATACTCTAAGTACTTATGAGTACTGATACTTATACTGTTTTTTTTTACTTTAAGTAAAATACTTAATACTTTAAGTACATTAGAAAAATTATGTACTTAATACTGTAAGTATATTTGAAATATTTAATACTTAATACTTAATACTTCAAGTACATTTGCTGAGTACTTAGCTCAGCTCTGGGCATTATAAATAATGCCATATTATTTACATTGCCCATGCACTCCACCGGGTAAGTTTTTCTTTTAAATAACCGCGCGAAATCGAAGGAGCCAAAGTGCATTTTCATCTGTAGCCACGAATGTCCTTGGAATGTTAATATTGAATGTTGTCAACCACACTTAAACGCCCTACACACGTAACGATTTATCGTACTGCGCGTTGAACTGCAGATCGTAAAGAAAATCGTACGGCTTGCAGTACAGCCATTTTTTGTACACACGATGCAACACATTGTACTGCCGCAGTTCAGATTATTCCGTTTTTGTCGAGAAGGGCTACCATACCGTTATGTCAAGAATTTCAAAGAAGAAAGCTGCCGTACTTGTAGCTGCGGTATTGCTGATAGATGAAGATGATGAACAAAAAGAAATCAAAAAGCGCAAATGGTGTAAAAAGTGGTTGCTGGAGAGAAAGAAATATTCACATATGAGGCTGTTAAAAGTGCTGAAAAAGAAGAACCTCTTGATTTTAAAAACTATTTAAGAATGGATTCTGATGCCTTTACGTGTTTGATGGATTTGCATAATCTTTTGATTTCACATCCCATAGGCATCTATTTTCTCTATATAAATCAATAAAGTCTTCCCAGAACGTCTTATTTTTTAAATCCATAATATTGATTAAACCAAAAATAAAAATTATATCGTAACTGCGCGCTGCGGCAGGAATACACTACACACGTTCAGACTTGCGTTCAAACCCCACCCCAGACACGACCCGTTGATACGATATTTTACGGAAGCTCCCTACTGCAAACGATTTGACGACTGCATACTGCAAACCATCCAATTTCCCTACACACGCTACGATTTATCGTTAATGCGGCAGTTTCGATGGATATCGTACTGCATGTTTTATAATCAGTATTAAACAAATTGCAGTTTTATATTTGTGTTAGGTAGATATAGTGTTAACTGTTTCTTTATGTTTTCTAAATAAAAAGGTTTACTGTAACTGTATTATTTATATTTAATAGTATTTTTGACTTTATTTACACGTTTTGACGGCACCGTTTTTGGCAAATTGTAAAATGCCTAAAAATAATCAGTCACAACATGATATATATTTTTCTGTTCTTGTTTCGCCGGCATTTTATCAGTTTGCCTGAATTGGTGCCGGCATAACGAAAAATGCATATTATGCTTGCGTTTTGCCGGCTTTTCGTAAAATTCCTAGGCAAATTATAAAAAGCCCAAATTTACATTATGCCTACGACATATATACACAGTATTGGCCTTATGTAGATTAACAGCGTGAATTTTTAAGAAAAATTGATTTTGCGACAATATACTATACAGTGTAGGTATCCCAGATTTGGCTGGAGCTACAGGGTTGGTTAAATTAAGTAAAGTTCTAGAGAATTTTATTACAAATTCAAATATGTTTTTAGAATTGAGTTATCTTTTGTTTTTGGAGAATTGGAGATAATTGAGAAAAACCAAAATGATGCATTTTTAATTTTTGCCAGTAACTTGTAAATTACTGGGAGTGAGGTTTGCTGCTTAATACATTATTTAGGACACTTTTATTAGAGGAATTTAATTCAGGTAAACATTTTATAGTATGCATTTGTATTTACGTCTCTAAAACTGCTTTTTTCGAAAAATATTCACTCTTTTATTGTTTTTATCTGCTAAATTACGAACGCACAGTAGGTACCTATATAATTTATAATAATAGATAACAATATTAATTATGAACAAAGGGAGAATTTTTGTCGGCGATCTCTACCAGGCGGGCTTGTTAGCTCAGTTGGTAGAGTGTCGTACTAGCAATGCGGAGGTCGCAGGTTCAAATCCTGCACAAACCCCAACTTTTTCAATTTTCCTTTGACTTTAATTTCCACAAAATTTTCTTTGGAATATTAATTATATTTTGCACTTATATACTCATGTTTTATTATTTCAATACCCTAAAATAGTTATGTATTTACAAGATGGTAATAGTAAATAGGCTTAATAACGAGGGTAAGTAACACCCGATAAAGCGCACGTCCATGCAACCTCGGGTGTCACATTTCAAAAACCGAACCGTTGTCGAACGGATTACCGAATGCTAAACAGGATGTTACTTACCTCCATGCGTCCCGCATCACACGGGCATAAAAGGCAACGAGGAGGCGGAACCAAGATCAGGAACTGGTCTAACAACCATTTCCAATACGAATGGCTGAATCAAAGAGGCCCCAGAAAGTCAAAGATCTTTATACAAGATCTCTCAAATTGTAAAGAGGCAAAAAGCCTCCTCAAACTAAACAGGAGCCAACTAAGAGCCATCACAGGCGTCCGACGAGGCACTGGCTGGTCAGATATCACCTGGACAAAATCGGTCTCAGTAATGAGATGGAGTGCAGGTTCTGCACCGAAGTAGATAAAACTACCAAGCCTATAGTCTGTGAATGTGACGCCCTCGTCAGTCGCAGACTACGATACCTCGGGTACAGGTTTCTGGAACCTAATGAAATAAAGCATGTCCGACCTGAGCGTCTCTGCATCTTTCTCAAAAATTGCAGGCTCCTAAGGTAAGACAGGGCTGCACCAAGAGGGGGAGAGCACAATGGGCCACATGCGCGTCTACATGCTGCCTGTAAAGGCTCCCCTTTCAAATCAATCAATCAATGTCATAAGTGAATGAAACAATTCCGGAAGGTTCAAAAAAAAGGAGGATTGAGGCAAGGAGGTCTTGTTTCTAAAGTGTCCATCGATAAGATTATTTGAGAATGAACAATAAAAAAGAAAAAATTACAATAAACTAGGTAGGTCAACCAAAAGTGATGAATATGTGGACATATCAAGAGGGAAACTAAAAAAGATAATTAAAAAGACAATACAAAAAATTCAAATTGACAGTTATATTATACTTGCTAAGATTATGTTTAACTCCAGTAAAGTTTTAATTCGCGGTGCTTGAAACTTTCTTTATAAGCATTTTCACACAAAACCCTAAATTAGCTGAAAACATTTTGCTCGCTTAAGCTGAAGACAGCTAATTTACTTTGAATTAACAATGCAGTCTCCCAGAAAATAATTACTTCCTAACCCAAGTTTGCGTTCGGTTAGCTGACTGACCTTTTAACCCTCGTTTGTTTGAGTTTAATTTTGTGCGGGCGGCCAAATACAATATAAATGTATATTTGATTTTGTTTCAGTATCTGTAAAGACTGTCGAAAAAATTCGACCAATCCACTGTCAACATGCAACAATATTTTTTGTCAAATGACAGAAGAAAGTAATCCAAGAACAATTATAACTGCAAATAGACAGATTCCAGGTCCTGCTATCCAAGTATGTCAAAACGATATATTAATTGTTGACGTCATCAATAGGATTCCTGGGAAAAGTGTAACACTGCATTGGAGGGGACAACCTAATAACGAAGCGCCTTTTATGGATGGCGTACCAATGGTAGAATAACTTGAAAAATCTTAATTTCCATAAATAATGCATTTATTTCATTCTAGGTTTCACAATGCCCAATCTCTAGTTTCACTACGTTCCAATACAAACTTAGAGCTTCCAAAGCCGGTACACATTTTTACCATGCCTTTCTGGACGCTGATAGATCAAATGGATTATTTGGAGCCCTTATTGTGAGACAATCAGAACGAACTGAGCCACATAGGAATCTATACGATGTGGATTCAAAAAATCATTTTGTTTTGATATCCGAATGGTCTGGTAAGAATTTTGTGTTTTTTTTTTCTCCTGAGTTTCTGATATATAAGTTTTTTTAGGCGACTTTAGTCATCCAACTCCAATAGATAGAGATCTTTCCAAGACTCTTTTAATAAATGGAAAAGCTCCAAGTGAACAGGGGTCAAGTTTAACGATGTTTAATGTTCAGTCTGGAAGAAGGCACAGATTTAGAGTAGCCTACACTAGCGGTTTATCCGGTTGTCCTGTTATCTTAACAGTGGACAATCATTTGTTGAAGATAATCGAGCTTGACGGTAATCCCACTAACCCGCACGAGGTTAGTTCCATTCGGATATCTAAAGGCGAAAGGGTAGATTTTATTTTGAAAGCAAACCAAGAAAAAGGAGCGTACTATTTAAATGTCAGGTATAAGCATTTTTTTTTAGCTAAATGGTTTAGCTTGGGTTAATTCTGTATTTTATTTTCCAGATCTAGTTGCGAACACACCAATTTACACGGATTAGCCGTGATCAGTTACGAAGGTCCGCAAAAGGGGAAGGTAAAGAGAGAGCATAAAAACGAAAATGATAGGGATAAAAAGGATAACAGATTGGCGAGGCGTTTTGATACATCCCTTTGCCAGGCTGAAATTGGCAAAGTTTGTCTCGGAGATGTTAAATCTTTCGACAAAATGCCCGACGAATTGCGGAAAGAGGAAGTTGATAGAAAAATCGTCTTAGAGATTGATTATAAGTATGGAGAAAGAGAGACAGATTACGGTAAGAACTGGTTTAACATTTTGCTTTTGGGAACTTATCCCTTTTTACGGCGGTAGCTATCTGTTGCATGGCCAATATTTCTTAATTTTTTTTTATTACATTTCTAATGCCAAATCGATCATACATATTGCTGAATAATATTTTTACTAATAACTAATAATTACCGGTTTTATCCACTCCTAACCTACGTAAATTATTATTATAGTTCAACCGCTTTTAATATACACAAACGGAAATTACGGTTTAAATAATATAACAAATATTTATGTAAATATAGACTTTTGAATCAATATTTGATTGTACTGCGTACATCAGGAATTTGCCTTGACTGGGAAGTGAACTTATGAAACTTTCTTTTTCCCCAGGGTCCCCAGGTGGTTTCACGGATCTTCGGAATAAAATCTACAGAATAAATAATTTTACATTCAGTTATCCATCCTCGCCATTACTCACCCAGCCGATGGATATCCCTTCAGCTTCAATTTGCAACGAATTAAACGTACCGGACAAATGCCGGGACAAGAATATTATTTGCGAATGCGTCCACTTGGAAACCATTCCCTTGGGAGAAACCGTTGAAATTATCCTCATAGAAAAAGGTTAGAATTTCATTTGTGATTTAAAATTCCCAACTGATCATTCTTTTGTCTTTCAGGAGGCGACGATGAACATGTTCTTCATTTTCACGGAAATCATTTTTACGTTGTGGCTTCTCGTCAATTTGAGCGGCCAATGAGTAGAAAGGAGGTCAAGGAGCTAGACAACATGGGTGAATTAGTCAAGAGGAATTTGAGAAATCCTGTTTTGAAAGACACCATTCGGGTTCCGAAGTTTGGCGTAGTTGTGTTAAGGTTCCTTGCCAATAATCCAGGTAAGAAGAAGAAGATGAAAACTTGAACAATCACACAAATTTCTCTTTCTTATGCAGGAATTTGGATGCTGAGAGACGAAAATTCTCAGGGATGGACTAAAGGATTAGATATTGCGATAGAAGTAGGCGAGAGACATGAAATGGTAGCCACGCCGTCCAATTTTCCAACGTGTGGCGATTATGTTGGACCAGATTTCTTTTTGCTGTAGTTTTTCATACAAAACATATGCAGCTACTTGACAAAAAAAGTTAAATAAAAGTAAATGAATACCTACCTAGTCAGTTTTATGATATAATTGGACAATAATTATCAGTGGCGCAGCCAGGGGGAGGGGCCAGGGGGCCCGGGCCCCCCAAGGCTTCAGAGAAAAATAGAAAAATAACAAAGTAGACGCGAGCTGTAAACTGCTCATATCAGAAAAAGTTTAAAGGAAAGCGAATCTGTGTTTTCTCCTATATTTTTTTTCTGCATGGCCCCCCTAGACAAAATTTCTGGCTGCGCCACTGATAATTATATTGTCCTTCAGAACACAAGTTGCACATTTACCCGCAATCCTAACATTTTGTTTTGCTTTGTTATTTCAATCCGTTCCACATTGACTAAACAAATAGGAGGTATACACGTATTTTTTGTCCAAAATCAATTTTTTAACGACATATCAACCATTTATTTATACTTTCTATTATCCATATCATACTTCCACTTTAATGTGGAAGTGGAAGGGAGTTCCTAGGAATTATTATAGTTATTTTTTTATACCTACCTATAGAAAAAATAATAAATATTCACTCTAAAAACTTTTCTTTAATACCATTTAAGCTTGCTTGATTGGGAAATATTTAGTTATAGGTACATATATAGTCGATATTGGCCTTGTGATAAGCCGTATTTTTTCATTATTATTCATTATTGTACATATAATTATTATGTTTGTAGTACGTATGTAGTATGTAATTTAAAATAATTTGACAGCTGTCAACTTCAAAATGTAAATATGAGGTTATTGATTTTGTTATAAAATAAATGTGTTTCCTTAACTTCACCGATTTTTAATAATTCATTATTGAAGTACGCTTGTTTTGGATTTGCCTGCTTGGTAAGCGAATTGTATTGGATAAAGCGGTCTCCTACTTAGATTTCACTCCTGATATTTTGTTGTAGGTATTGATCTTTCCATAGATTTGAGGAGAACCTCTGTCGTCCTTTTCTTGGTATAAATATGAATACTAGGCCAGCCTCTATGCATGCTCTAGTACACATAGCCCAAAGTAAGGTTACTGATAAGACTCTTGTTCTCAGATATTGGGGGTATTTTTCATACTTAAGAATATAGAGGAGGGTTATGATGTCCAAGCCAACCTTCTCATCCTCTTAACATCTTCTGCATCCCGATTTTTTTCATTCGGTATTTCGTGATTTGATCTATTTTTGTTTGGGTTAGTTTGTGATTAGCTCTTCCTATTGGTTGGACATAGTTTTTTGCTTCATTATAATTCCTAAATCCTGTTTTCGTCGATTTATTCTTTAGTCAAGTATTTTATCATTCTTGGTAATTCTTTGGTTTTCTATTAGTAGTACAATATTATTTGCGCATCATATACTATTTGGCACACAATCAACTGATCATGAATCAATTGAAGCCTTGCCATAATAGGACAGTTGACACACATACATCGAAATATTTATTTTGTATTATAAGTTGAATAACACTTCTGTAACCCTATATCGTACAGTTTCAGCATCGCGCTGTTGCTTTTTGATGACATGCTGCACACCTTGTTTGTTTTTCTTGAGGTATGAACAAAAGATAGCCTATCATATCTCAATTTAATATCTTTCCTCTTATAACGGTGCGATATAGAATTATATTGTAGTATAACATACCCGGGTTCGTTCAGCAAGATTGAACGGTGTGAATTTTTATTACCCCTTCTTTTAACAAATCTTCTGAAAAACGAAATGAAAAATAAATCGCACCTACGTTGTGGAAACTTACTCAATTTTACTTACTGGACATGCGCCCGACAATAGCAAAATTAGAGAAATTTAAGGGAAGTTCTGATATGAAAAATAAACGAAAAATTTGTGAAACGTCTACTTTTTTATTAAAGTAAATTGTACCGTTCTCGAACTGGTACTAACGAGGGGAAAGAGCACGGCAGAGAAACCTTCGATCTAACATTCCTCAAAAATCGAAACATACTGTGTCATTTTTAATAATAATTGTGAGTCAATGAAAGGTTAAATTAGGTACCGTCCTTTGTCCTTGTGCTAAAATTTTAATTCCACATACTACATTCAATCAACACTACCTATATTCAATACTGAAGAGTTTTTTGGTTAGTTAGCCAGTTTCACCAGCAGGTACTGAGGTCCCGTACGGGATGCTACTCAGCTATAGTTGTTATTTTGAGCCAATATCTCTAGATTGATTTTTCAATTTGTTTGACAGGATATTCGCCATTCAGGGTAGGAAAATGTTAGTAGATGCAACAAGGCCCTAATGTACGCTCTGAATACCCAAAATTAAAATCCCAGTACAAAAGAAAGCACATAACTTCTTTGGTTTTAATTTACTCTTTATATGCGTTGTTTACAGCATGAAACGATTTTTGTTAAATACATGAACAATGCAAATGTTATAAAAAATGTTATAAACAAACAAAAAAACATAAAAATGAAAAAATAATACTTGCATAAATTGAACTCTTAAAAACAGAATAACATTTATTCAACTGACCTGTGAATGCTCCTTATGACTCACAAACTAATCACAAATTGGATTGAACAATCAGTTTAATACAAAATAAAAATTGAATAATGAACAATGGCAGACAGCCTTCTTCTCTCTGGTCTAGTCTCTCATTTTTCTATCTCCCCTTCGCTTGTTTTGTTTTCTGTGTGGCGCGTCTACGCTCGCCCCTACTCGACAGCGTATACATGGTTGCAAAATTTACCATGCTTTTATATAGTAAACGTTTTAAAAAGTTAAGATTTGGAGAAATATTATTTTAAATAGGTGGTTCTCCTCAATATTTTGGTTCGATCGGTCGACTCCTCCTATGCCCTTATTATACAATTACACAACATGCAGTTGTTCTACTTGGATAAATTTGCCTTTTTCCTTTTCTTGGGCGTGACGTACCTTTTGACGAAACGTAGTGGATTAATTCTCTCATGCTCTTCTTCAGCGAATATATTTTCCATGAATTTTTTATTAAGATATGTAAAGACAGGTCTACCTTTGGGAGGTTATTGTTTTTCAAGTTTTCCAAGTGAAACTTCTTAACGCGCGCTAGGAATGAAATTTCAAAGCTGTGACACACAAGCTAGCGATACGAAAACCCGTCATGATATATTTTTCAACATGGCGAACATGGCGTTGCTGAATGATGTCAAATTCCAACGTCGCTGTATTACAGATGGATTGCGAGTGCAATTTTTGACGTTAATAGATGACGCCACAATAACTACCTACTGTAATCTAATCAATAATTTGGAGTCATCATCATCATCATAGGCGATCACTCGATACCAAGTATGATATTCTTCTATTTTATTCTTATTGTCGTCGATTGTGCGTTTTCTGATGGGTATATAAACCAATTCTGGAGCCGCACAGTCTTCCACAATCTTGGCACACACACCCACTCTCTGGCAACATTGTCTCTTTCTCTGGTCCCTCGCTCCTTCTTATTTCATGTCTGCGTCGCTGTTTTTCAAAAGATTTTGGTCCCTGGAGGACTACTTGACGCCATGAGGGCCTATCATTTGCCGTTGTCTCTCATTTGCTGGTATCGATTCGGCATTTTGCCATATTTTCCGTTGGAACATCTCTGTAGCGTTTTTGTTGACCTCCTTGATTTCGTTTTCCCTCTTTCAGTCGTGGAAGACGTGTTTCGAGCATGCGGAGGAGGTGACCTGTCCAGCGAAGTTGGTGCTTAATGATGAATCCATGCTAGTTTTTTCGGATTCCTCTAAAACACTAATGTTCGTTCGTCGGTCTTGCCATTTAATGCGTAGGATCCTTCTTGGGCATCGCTGGTGGTATTTTTCTAGGTTTTATATGTGTCTTCTGTAGGTAGTTCATGTTGCGCAGCCATAGCGTTATACGTAAGTGTTGGTATTACAACTGCATAGTAGACGCTAAGTTTAGTCTCAGCGCTGATGTCGTGATTGTTGAAGACTCTTTCTAGAAGTTGCTCGAACGCCGCACTAGCATACTTCGAGCGATGTTGGATTTCAACGTCAACTCGTTGACAGATGGCTCCCAAGGTATTAGTGGTGTTCTACTTCCTACAAAGAATTGTCATTTATAGTTATATTTGGTGCTTGAGGATAAGTATTCGGTGCGGGTTGGTGCAGAATCTGCGTCTTGTTAAAGTTGACTTCTAGGCCGATTCTCCTGTATACTTGGTTGAATGCTTTAATAATTTCAAAAAGATTTTTCTGTGTATTGGTCATCGCGACGTTATAATCCGCATATTAAAGTTTAATTATCGATGTCGTCGATACTTTGGTCTTGGCTCGTAATCTGTTTAGGTTGGATAAGCTCCCATCAAGTCTGTACAGGATTTCCATTCCTGACGGCAGGTGATACTCGACAAGGTGAATTATGATCCTATAAGGTGGGTGCCATAACACAGCCCTGTTTAACGCCTGTAGTTATTTAACCTCTAGCTGCCGGATGTGTGATTGACTACATGAATCAATGTATAGGGATAAGAAATCATTTTACCTTGATGTGTCATGCTAGAGGTCGATTTTTACCCATACATGCTCGAAAAATTCCAGAACCGGTACCATCTGTCGTCCAGAGTTCCAAAAAGTGGGTATGATTTTGTTTCATATATCCAGATAACAATAGCAAACCCATGTATGCTTGCATTGCATTATAGTCTGGTGTAGTGCACTAAAGAAATAGTCAATAAACCAACTAACTTTCCAGCTACCATAGCGCAACAGTCTGAGCACCTAGTAAACACATCGGTCGTAAGTTACATTAAGGGGCATGAGTGGGGGATAGCGGATCGGATTTTCACCGCCCTTTTAGTAGAAATGGTGCATTTTATACACCGGCGCGGGTAGTTAAAGGTTAAAAAGACTCTCCTCGTCCATTGATGCTTAGGACGGTTGCATTTATATTATCATGCAGTAGGCGGAGTATCTGTATGTACTTTTGCGGACACCGAACCTTTGCCAATGTCT